CCGCTTCCAACATCCAGCAGGATCAATTTCTTCTCAAATAACAATTACTTTGTCACCCTAACAATTTTCGACATCGATTTCAGAAGGATATAACGACGAATTGAATTTTTTTCTGCGAAACGCAAAAGAGAATCAATTTAAAAAAAAAAAAGAATAATGATAAATTAAATCGTCGATCTCTTTACGAATTTTATCCCTCGTCTCAAAATTTAAATTACACCATCCGAGTTTTCATCATTTCGAACAGCTTATCAGAAATTATTAAGAAAAAAGATTGATCGAAATTTAAGAAAAAAAAAAGAGAGAGAGAAGGAAAAACAAAAGCTCGATCAGCAATTTTTATCGTCTCGTTGGCCCATCGTCGAATTACGCAATATATTCGAGAGAAACGCGTGCCATCGATGGAGAAAAAGAAGGGAGGAGAGAAGAGAAGAGAGCGTCACGGTGGTCAAGAGTCAACGCTTTCGAAGGATCGATATCCGCTAATAGAATTGTGCGCGTATCGAACGAAACACGACAGCGGCAGGTTTGCCGGCAATTAGTAATGACGTGTCGTTCGATACATGTACATCGTGTTCACGGTTTGTCGCCTGAAAACGATTTCGCCAATTTCACGTTTTATCGATTTTCCTTGCGGATATGTGTTAACGTTGTATTATGATGAAAGATGAACGCGTTCAAACGCATTAATAAACATCCAATTTTTTAAAAACCGGTTGTAAATCAAACCGAAGAATTCAATTTGCTTCGATTGAAATTCATATCGGAATTCAACTTGTGTGCTTGCTTTTCGTCGATGCTTTGTTTAGAGAATCGATCGATTCTCTTCACATTCGCTGCAACAACACTCTTTAAACGTAGACGCGATCGATTACAACTCTTCTTCTTCTTCAGGATCGATCCAATTTTCTGTCCCAATCGAGATGACAGAGTTTGTTTGTTTGCCGCCAATGGCACGACAATCTGCCAAGCTCCATTATCGCGATTCCACGTGTAATTGTTGCACCTATGACCGATCGGATTAAATTCGAAGCCTTGGGCCAATAATTGCTCGATTTGAGACCGATCGGCGCGAGTTCCCGCTTCTTTGTGGCGATTCGGTTAACCCTTTTATCGAGCGAGCTTGCAGATGGAATTGTGAATCGTTGAGTCGTTTATTTATTGTTGACGAATTAGGAGAGAATTTTAAACGATTTGTGATAGGAATTTTTGATAGGATTCTTCGTTTCTTCGTGATATTTATGATTAAGGAAAATAATTTTGAAGAAATTTTGAAACGAGGAGTAATAATTAGTGGATGAAGTATTACGTGTAATCTAATTAATAATTGAACGTTGAGTGTTTATTCAAAAATGTTTCTGTGATGAATCGAAAGATTGATTTGATTCAAAAAAATTTGTACGACTCTTCTCAAAGGAAAGATTTTTATCAAATCTTTCTTCTAAACAAAGAAAAACCCACTATCGTTTTCTTTTCGTAACAAAATTCTTCGTAGATCTCGATTTCGTCGATCGATCATTTCCAAATGATCGATCAACGCCTGACTTTGCCAAACTCAGATATTCGATAAAAATTTCGACTTGGAACCGAGAATTGTTCCCTCGAATGCGATCTCATCGACGATTAAAGAACCATGGTTTAGTCGAAGGGAAGAAAATTCGTGGCGGATGTCCTATGCTTCTTCCTTTTTTTTTTATCTCGACTCATCTTAGACTCTTTCTTTTTGTCTCTCTTTTTTCATTGTTTACACCTACCTGAATCGAGGCTGTTTTTTTCTTTATTTCGTTTCAACGAGAGATTATTTTGGCTCGAAAAGCACGGAAAATGGAGGGATTTTTCTCGTCGCCAAACTCGTCGTGATCTTTTTAAATTGAATATAAGTTTCTAAATTTACCATATAACGTTGTTCCAACGTTTAATTGACATTTACATTTCTTTCATTCTTCGTTTATTATTTCACATCTTTTTTTCTAAACTTCTCTCAGATAAAAGATATGGATACATAAGATTTCTCTTTTTCATAATTCTAAAATTATCGGATAAATCACGCTCAACTTGTATCCTGTAAATAGGATCGGAATGAAAAGTAGACAGACACCTGGTGGCATCTTTGCGGGAAAATTCGTGGCACTTGGTAAATCTATTTCAATTTTTTTTTTCTTTTTTAAACAAACGATTCGTATCATAATAGCACTTTCACATTTTTTTTTTTTCTAATCTTATCTCACGACTTATCGTTTCTATATTAATTTTCTATATTACTTCTATGCATTCGTCATTCATACAAAGTTACATATATATATATATAAAAAGACAAATAATCTTCACAAAACAACTTCTGTCTGACTGATCGAAGTCGAACTAGAAACAGACTTACTTGAATCCAGTTGAAACGATCTTCTAACTAATCTCTTCTAGCAAATCTTCAAACCAAACCAAACACGTATATTATATCGAGCGATCGTTGGAAGATTATTGCAAAAGGTCAGAGTGAAGATTGAAGATCACGGGAGGAAGATCGCACGCAGAAAGTCTCATGATGAGAAGTCAAGGTTATTTTAAAAATCATTCGTCGGGCAGATAATCTTACGCTTTCCACGCAATTCTATCTGTCTCCATTACTATCATTCGCCCACGACACGTATAACCGGAAGAATCCAGAGAGCACAAAATCTCGAACCATCCTCATTTCCGTCTGACGAAGATATTCTCGAGCAGCTCCTTGGTGATGAGGCGGTGAGGCCTGGTCGGGCTCTCCGTGGGCCTGCCGTACAATCTGCTGTTGATGGCGTACAGTTTAGGGCTGAGCTCGCACCTCACGTTGAACCACCAATCGCACACGAACACCGCCTGGCTGAATTGGGTGCCGTTCGGGCAGAGGAACGTTGCCTGGCGGCCGTCTATGTCGCAATAATGCCACGCCTGGCACCTCGTCTCCACGTCCGCGAAGAAGCCCGGATAAGGTTGGTCGTCGCAGTAGAAATTCGTGTAAGGCACCTTGCCCAACACCGGATAATCGGTGCCAGCTCGACCTGCAACGGGAACGAGACGTTTCCTGAGTTTTTCGAAATTTTCCCCATAAATAAAATTGAACGAACGAAGACGTTCGAAATATTTCTAATTTCAGAAATTAGAAATTAATTCTTTCTCTACTTGGACGACTTTTCCCCCACGCTGAACGAAAAACGTGCGCTCGAGAAAGATCGTTGCTTCGACGGTGTTTAAGAAAGAAAAGAAATTGACGATAAAAATATCGATGCTACATTTCCAGAGAAAGATACTCGATGTGCAATAACTCCAATCGTCATATATCTTGCCGCAGAGCGACTATAATATAGCTCCTGTGAAAAATTCTTAAACCGAAAATCACCAACCCCCGTTGAACTGAGAGTCTTTCGAACCGTTTATTATCGTGGCGTTTCGCCTGGAAATCTCATTAATCGTGCGCGAGATGCGAGGAGGATTTGGTGGAGGGAGGAAGGAGAAGCTATCATCCAGGTAACCGACCCACCCTTTCTCCCCTCCCCCCCTAGAAACCACTCGCCTGATTTCCACGGTTGAAGCCGCCGAGAGAGAGAAGCCGGCTCTCGATTGTATGCTCGATTAATCGGTGAAAGTGGCACGAGATGCGCCGACTGACACCCGCACAAAGCAGCCATCTCGCCACCCGGCTTGTATATCGACGTGTGTGCATCGTCGATTGCCAACCGTCTTCTCCCCGGTTGCTCGCTCGTTTCGACGAGCTGTTTACAGCGACAACGTGGCGAAGATCCTGGTTTAATCCTGGAGGATCATCGTCGGGGATGATTCTGTGCGATCCTCGTCGAGAAAATGGGAAATACGTTCTCTTGGAGCGATGGTTATAAATTTTCTCACGGGAAACCTCGCCTGTGATATGGATGGATGGATGGGGTCATTTTTTTCTGAATGCAAAAGAAATAAAGCTGAGCTGTTAGAAACGAAGAACGGCCTTTCGAATTGAAGGAAAAGAGAGAGATAAGAAAGAGAAATAAACCTAAAGAATCTCTGATTAATTAGAATCCGAAGAATGCGCCGCGAAGTCCCTCGCGGAAGTTTAAGAATCGCAGGTTGGGAGTTTGGAGAAAGGGGGGAGAAGCATCGGCAAATATCTCGGGAACACAACGAGTGACCCGCATAAAGAGGGAAATTGCTCTTCAGAGTGTTCAGTCTCGAATCGCCGGCCCGGAATAAATAAGCAAAACTCGTGGTGCGCGCGAATCAAAGCTCGCGCGCTTTTCATTCCTCCCCTTCTGTCGAAACAAATTCCTTCTAACGAGATAGACATCTTCCTTTCTCTTCAACATTCCTGGACAATCGCAAGATTTTTATCTTTACATATTGTGTACAAAACTGCATACATAGAAATCGAACTTTGTTACACCGATTCTTATTTCGAAAGATCGAAATGATCAGAAATTTTACGAGGAAAAATTGTTGGACAACCTCTTCTCTTTGATCTTGATCGAGCACAGGAAGCACGCCCTCCTCCAGGATTGTAATGTAACACGCCAATAACGTTCTCCTCTCCAAAGGTATCCATCAACGATATATAAACCGCAGGGATTTGATCGATTCGAGACGGCGGTCGTAATGGGACGTGAATCGTTCCAGGATCACCGGATGTTTGCGCGAGACTTTGAGCCTCTCCTTCCGTATCGATGACGATGCCGGGTAAATCGTTTGTCCAATGCTCTATCCGTTACGTCGCAAGATCGAGTTATAATGGCCGAGGGGTGCATTGTGTGTGCAGTATTGCTGTTCGCGATTTATCGGATCGGAAATGCTTATAATGCTATTAGCGCAAATCGAATCGTTTACCCGATCGTAATATAATCGTTTTTCCACGGGAATCCTTCCTCCTCCGTGAAATTTTCATAATACTTGCACTTTTTCTTTTTTTTTTTAGTTCCTAATTCAAATTTAGAAGATCTTCACGATGATTCTTCGCAAAATTGCGTAATGAAAAAAGTTATCACTATACTGTTATACAGTTTCGCAAATATCGAATTTTCTTCGCAAAAAAGAGACCAGTAAGAAGGATTTATTACCCATAGAACGGAAATTGAATCAGAAATTGATCACAGAGAATCTCTCTCTCTCTATATATATATATAACACGAAGCTCCTTTAACGAATTATAACCACGCGAGCTTTTCTTCCTTCCCCGTTGTCCGTCTCACAACTTTGCGTCATCTCTATTATATATACATCTCTCTCTTTCTCTATCCCCTTCCACCTATTCGAATCTCATTCGACGAGCAGCATAGTTTCAGGTGGCACATCTCGCTTGTTGAAATATATATATATATATATTCGAACGCTTGTCGTTCAACAATCCGTCCAACAGAGACGGATAGAGAAGCACGAGCCCCGCTATAACGCGTGCTACGCGCGAAACGGGCGAGGAGAAAGATGGACGATACAGTCTCGATCTCTGAGCGACAGAGAAAGAGAGTTGCATAGAGATGGGAACGTGCACTTTCCAAGCAAACTCTCGTCCGTATCGCGGTGACATCCATACGAAATTCCCGCCTTCCACCCCTTGTCCGACCTGTTTTGTCACCGTGGAAGAGGTCCCGTGCACCCGCACGGAATAAACCTCCTCTCTCTCTCTCTCTCTCTCTCT